CCTGGTCTTTGTTTTAAGTTTTGAAAATTTTCCTCGCTAACAGAGTTCTCCAGAACTATTGGCCTCGAACTTGCGGTCCACTAAAAGACAGAAATGAGGAGGGGAAAGAAAATTAACAGACCCGTGGGTCGTTACAGTTTGTTCTGCTTCAGGCTTCCTTTCACCCTCATTACCTGGCTACAATAGCAGCGAGATTGGGCATTTCTTGGTAATTGTTATTTTGTGTTTGTTCTGTCTTGTATTGTACTTGATCATGCAGCTGTGCAGTAAACAAAACAAGGCAGAGAGCTGTTGGTGGTGGTACCCTTTCCATAAAGTGGTGTTTGCTAATAGCAAAGTCCCATGTAATTAAGAACATTTTATAATACAAATGGTTGTGCTACTGAAGTCAATAATTTCAACAAAACCTAATCATTTGTTGCGTTTTTTGATGTGCCTCTCTTTAACCAAAATTTTTTTTGTTGTTTTTTTGTTTCTTTTTTTTTTTTTTAATGCATTTCTGAGTTGCATTCCTCATCCACCGAGTTCAGAATGCTTTACAAAAGAAACATTGTCAGGATACCTGTGTGACAGATGGAGAAATTGAGGCACCTGAGGGAAGATCATTTGCCCAGAGGCCTGTAGCAGGAACAGAAACAGCAGTCTCCTAATCCCACATGCTGCCCTGTAGGCTCAGAACTGACCAAAGACACAAGCAGTTCACTTGACTTTTCAAGACCTCCGTATGGTTTCTTGTTGGCCTGGCCCACGCAAACCTACTTGTCTCCGTCAAATTACTGTGGCCCAGCTGCCAACATTCAGTTTCTTACCCTGCAGCACATATGAGGTAGCTAATTTCTCTCTCTTTCATCAAGAGATCTTGAATTACTTCGCACAGGACATGGGGGCCTCTACAGGGACATCTAGTGTAGAGAAGAAGAACTTCTTTCCTATGTGAGGCAGCAGCGTGTGGCTCCTATGCCTGCCCTGCTGCATGTCCTGCGAGACTTATGATGGGACCTACATTTCTTGGTGGGAACCTGCGTGGCACCTATAGGCTGGATGAGGCAGAGCTGAGGGGTAGGAAGGGAGAGGAAGAGGAGAAACAGACTTGGGGAGGTGGGAAGAGGGATTCTTTCTTCCCATTTATTTTAGTGATTTGGGGCCCTATTTTTGACTCTTGCTTTGTATCCCAGTTTTCTGAAGCTATGTTACCACAGCATGCCATCCTACATGCTAAAGTGAATCCAACCTTCCTTTTATGCTTGCAGGCTCAAATCTAGACACATGAAGCCCGTTTAATTGCATAAGCAGAAGTGTTCTGCTTTGTAGAGATGCGGAGTACCCACGGCTTCAGCTGAAGTCCCTGGGAATGGCCAGCCATCCCCTCCTTTCCCCCCCAGAGGAGGGAACTAGATAAACAAGTTCTTGCTCCTTTTGTTCTTAGTCCTGTTCTTGTGAAATAACTTCCATAGTCTGAGCATATCCAGGTGTTCTTCATGGAAAATCTCCCAGTGCTGTTGCTTGGGGGTATTGGCCCCTTCTCCAAGGCAGTCCCTGCCACCGAATCCCATCTTTACCTAGGCAAACCCCAGTAATCTTGGTGAGTACCTGTCCTCCACAC